GGATAATAATAGGATATAGGATAATAGATAATAATAAGGAACAAGATAGATATAGACCATAATAATATAGATCCTATATTATCTTACTCCTGATAATATGGTTACCTGTTTTAAAAATTCAGTGCTCAACAAAATACCCCCACTAGCTACAAGTAGTACACATGGTATATCAGCAAAAAGCACTATAGATCTAGTGCCCTACAAACATAACTGGTTCTCTCCTAAAGTATGCTACCTTCAGAACGACAACTTTCAAACTAAACTTTCGCATACATTTTATACAAAGCATCTAGAATTATCATATGCAAAAACAAAATATTAATGTATTATAATAGCTAGGAGACTTATATCCTATATTCTCGTATGAAACCACAAGACATTTGATGGGTAACCGGAAGTGTCTATGACAGGACCTGACAGTACCATTTGACATCAGGTCTTCTGCGTCATTAGTCAAGCCTGTTTCATCATGCTAGGGGCTTCTAGCCGCTGGTGCTGTATTGTTGCAGGATGCCGATTGCATTTGTGCACAGTTGAGGAACAGAATACGGCAAGTCTCTTGCAGCTGAGCATGTCATGTGCTGCATCTAGTCCTGTCTGCATCACAAGACACACCGTTGAGAAGAACGTACAGTGCAACAGGGATGCATTCCACAAGTGCTAGACTGCCTCTTGACATCGCCTCCCCAATTCAGTAGAGCAGGCTGTTGGCCATCCATTCTTAAACAGTTAGATATTGTCACGGGAGTGAATGCTGCTTGCGCCGCAGATTGTTGGGGGTAAGCTTGCGAGTGTAAATGAAGAACTCAATAAAGCTGCGGCCATTGCACGCTTGTATGCGCAAGTTGCGATTATTATCACACGTGTCACGTTGTCTGCTCATACAGCGCAAGATGAATGATTCTGCTGTTGTCACCTCTTCGTGTGTGCTTAGCGTTACATCTGCATTAAAATCAAGTGAGCTCTAGTTCTCCAATGGTAATGAGTGAATGTCAATGAATGCGGTAGATCATTACAGGATGTGGAGCACAAAGTAAAATTGTTGTAGTGTCTACCGCGAGCCACCAAACATTCACAAGTAGGTCTGTTCTGTACCAACAAGAACAACCGGTGATGCTCAAGACTCTGACTAGATCTAACGTTGTGTGGACATATCAGTGTTGCTCGGCATCATGCCTCTGCTTGCTTTGAACGTATTCCAGCCATCGACATTTTTCGCGTAGAGCTTGAATGAAATTCATCTGGCTGTTTGTGTTAGCAAGGAATGCAGCATGGTTTTATAGTGTACATGTCATCACGGGTGTGATGTCTCTGAAAGTAGGTTTTTGCTGGCCGTCGCTCTTGTTCACCTTCTTTTGTGGATGCGCTTACCCATCATGCCGTCAAATACACACGTTGTTTGAGCTCCGTAAGCCTCCAGGATGTACAAATGTACGGAGGAGTGGAGCCAGAGTTATGGAAAAACCCTAAATAGGGGCATTTTGACGCAAGTCTGCATTCTGAAAACTGCACAAGGGGATTTTCGGACTGTTATATGTTATTCTACACATGTCTTTAACCTATCATGAAAAACTTCAGCTGTTTGAAAATGTCCGGGTTGGCCATATTGAGCTAAAATCTGGACTAAATAAGATATAATACTAATGATACGGGCAAGGAGAGACCATAACCGATGAGGTGTATTGAGTAGAGTAGGATGTGTGTGTGTGTGTGTGTGTGTGTGTGTGTGTGTGTGTGTGTGTGTGTGTGTGTGTGTGTGTGCGTGTGTGTGTGTGATGTCTGTACATCTACTGCGCTCTCGTCGTAACAGACGTAGCTAAACCTATTCGACACATTCAAAGTTTACGAATGTCTTCTGGTTACCCAGCTAGTGGTCAAGTATAATCAGCGCCATCTGTAAACAGTGCGCTAATCGTAAATTATAATGTAAATATGTATATATATGTATATACTTCAAGAGTAGCTAATAACACTGTGTTATTATCTACTCTTGATATACTTGTGTGCGTGCGTGCGTGCGTGCATGCGGGCGGGCGGGCGGGCGGGCGGGCGGTCATTGGGGCGAGCGCATGTGCATGTTTGCATTATATCAAGAGTAGATAATATTGTTATTATCTACTCTTGATTATATATAAGCGGCGCGTGATCTACAATTACTCGCATAATCATGATATAGCGGCCGTGCGCTTGACTAGGGATAGGGAAGCTTTTGATAGCGGAACGTGTTCCCGCTGATTTCAGTCCGTAGAGTGGTGGTGGTGAGTGGTGCTGGCATATGGAGTACGGTGGTGGTAGGTAACGCGGCTCTCCCGTTGCCGGTGACGTTGTAATCCGATGTGCAAAAACGCGAGTACGTTTCGACTATTAGTATTACCAAAGTCGCGTTAACATGGGGAAAATGTCGTTAGTGTATTCAACACACGCATCGACTGACTTGCCGTGATAAATGGCGGTTGCGTGCCTGAATGTACGGCGGCTCGCACACTCTGTTGGTGACCGCTGGAACACGCACGCAACGATGTCATCAAGAGCCCATTAACCCCTTAATGGGCTCTTGATGTCATGCATACATCCATAAGGATTAAACCTAAACAGTAGTGCAATGCGCGTCTTCTTAAGCCAGTGGCGCCTTTGATGCGTTTCAGTGCGTGTATGTAAATATGGAAATGATGCCGATTTTTTGGGAGTTGAAGTTATCGGTTGGGTATTAGACTGGGAGATCGGAGAATGAACGAAGCATACCAAATAGTTCGCCAATCGTGCGGCTATAAACAACCATGTACAGTCGGTGCTATTTACTCCGCCCGGAAAATTTTCTCACATGATTGCAGACTGCGTGCTCAGCTGAAATGGATGACAATACAATCGTTTACATAGCTAGGCTACATACATACGTCGTACGCGCATGATTTTGCGCAATGCACAATTTGACAGACGGTGCAGAATGGTAAAAGCATCGCGATGACGGCCTCAGCAGTTTATTGCGTTCGCCAACATGTCGAACACAAACAACAGAAAAACAACAATGCTAAGCAACACAAATAAAAAAACAAAATAAAATTAGAAATAAAAGCAACGTCGTCACGCGGAAAAGTGCAGTGGTGATATAAATAAGAGATAAGAGGGCGAATAAGAGATGAAGCGAAATCCTGCCTAACACTGCGTACTCTTTGTACGCAGGCTGTGGACTTTTCCTGATAGGGTAATTTAGCTTTCATGGCCCAAAATGTTTTTCGTATGCTTAAGGTACACGCCTGATGTAAAAGAAAGGATTATTAGTGACTAGCTGCGGGTACCCGCTGCGTTGGATAAAATCGTGCTACTAATTCATACTACTAATAATCGGACACAATAGGAACATTGGGTAAAAATCGACAATAACATTGCACACAATATCAATATTTACAATTTAGCATGGGAAAATAACTGTTACGTATGACATTTATATGACAGCACAACCGAACTTAGAACCCCTGGAACATAATAGTAATATGGTGTAAATGACAAAAAGTTATTATAACAGCATGTACGAATGGGTTGCACTTTTCATTTCAAAACCTCTTGATAAACAATGTTTTTCGTGTTATTCTCTGGTGGAAGATATTAAAGATTCCTGCGTCTCGAAACTGTTGAGCTCCCACGTACGGCATGTACGTATGGCACGTACGGCACGTAACAGCATGTAGGAATGGGTTGCACTTGTTCATTTCAAAGCCTCTTGCATAAACAATGCAGTCGTAACCTCTGAACTGGTCCTGGCTGGCTGCTCTGTTTTAGTATTGTTTCGGTTTCACAATACCAGCAGCTGATGAAGTGAGGGAAAGAAATAGTCATCGATTTTTGTGTGTGTGGCAGCACTGTACAGTGAGTGCTGACATTGTGTGAAGTTTCACGAATTGACGGGTTTTTCACGGATTTTTCGGTGAGTTTGATGGTTTGACAGGTTTTTTTTCGTCTAGGAACACTCCCCGGGTATAAGAAATGGCCCTGTGAAAATTGCATCCAGATCGCTTGGGCGGTTTGGCCGCCCATAGGGTACATACATACATACATACATACATACATACATACATACATACATACATACATACATACATACGAACTCAAATATCGATTTAGATTGCATCGATTACCAGACATGCAAAAGCATGATTGCATTATGATAGCATCAGTCGCTTGTAATGTGAATACAAATGGGGAAACAATTGTTATCTCACTGTCTCTCTCGTCAGTGATCACACAATCAGTGTGAATATCTGGCCAGTTCTGATATTACAAGAATGAGTTAGAAAGTGCCCGAGCTTTAATGGCATGAAGCCGAAACGTAAGCCGATGGGTTTTTCGCACTAACTTATACATTATTGAAAAAAACACGTGTATTGTGTACGGTCACAGAATAAATGCATGCTGTAACATGGTGTACATTCTGTATAATGGTACCTACCCGTGTTGTGTACAAGTTGCGCCTAAAGTAGTATTGTGCTAATGTACGTTATTATTACGGTTACATTTAATTACTTAAATCATGATTAATTCTGGGTAACTTGTTTAAGTGGATTAAATTTCGAGTTAAAATGAAGCAGTTTGACAATTAAGCCGATAAAACAATCATATCGTATGCATATAACGATACCTCATCGGCACCACATTCTTCTATATTCTTCAATGGCCTCACAATGAATGAATTGAGTCTGATATCAAACAAACAGTAAAAGGCTACGACATAAAAACTGTGAAACGAGTTTTATACTATGAATAAAACAACTTTATCGGACTGTTTCAGTATGATTAAATATGTTCTGCTGGAGCCATCAGGACGATATAAAGTCTGATTCGAAACAAAACAGCTCGGAGTTAAACCCATGTAGACACTCTTTCAAAGCGCGAGAGAGGGGAGCCGAAACATTAGCGCGCTAAACTAATGACCGAGATTTATACTACGATATCAGCAGGCAGAAGAAAGCTCATAATTCCTTCACTCACAGAAAACCGATCATGATCAACATCTATATCTACCCTTGCGTTAGGAATCAACTCGGAGAGCCTTACTCTAAGCCAACTAATAACACGTGCTCTAGTAGTAGATCCACTAATAACACATGCTCTAGTAGTAGATCCACTAATAACACGTGCTCTAGTAGTAGATCCACTAATAACACGTGCTCTAGTATAGTAGATCCACTAATAACACATGTTCTAGTA